TATTTTCACACACACACACACACACACACATACACACACACACACACACAATGATCCAATAGTTTTTGCAGGCGAGATTCTCTAATACAATAATGTGAACATCCAGCTAAGTGTCTCACTTAGGCTATATAATTTTGTGTAATAAATATTCTTTAATCTTATCAGAATATCATAAATTGGCATATATGTTTTAACCTACTAGTTTATGGTTTATAAAAAGATACAATAATGTGTTTATAAAAAAAAACTTATTTGGCCCAAATTGGAAGTCAATGCTAATATTTAGAACAACAGAACTCTCAACAGAGGAATCTAAAATGGCTGAAAGACACTTAAGGAAATGCTCAACATTCTTAGCCATCAGAGAAATGCAAATCAAAACAACTCTGAGATTCCATCTTACACCTGTAAGATTGGCCAAGATCACTGATGACAACTTATGCTTGAGATGATGTATGGTAAAGAGAACATTCCTGCATTGTTGGTGGGAGCAGAAACTGGTACAGCCCCTTTGTATATTAGTATGGGTATTTCTCAGAAAATTAGGAAACAACTTTTCAAGACCCAGCAATACCACTTTTGGGTATAGACCCAAAGGATGCTCAATGTCCACAAGGACATGTGCTCAGCTATGTTCATAGCAGAATTGTTTGTCATAGCCAGAACCTGGAAAGAACCTAAATACCCCTCAGCCAATGGATAAGGAAAACGTGGTACATTCACACAATGAAGTTCTACACAGCAGAAAAAAAAATAATGAAATCTTGAAATTTGCAGGCAAATGGATGGATCTAGAAAACATCATATTGAGTGAGGTAACCCAAACCCAGAAAGACAAATATTATATATACTCACTCATAAGTGGCTTTTAGTCATAAAGCAAAGAAAACTAGCTTACAATTCAAAATCCCATAGAACCTAGATCATGATGAGGACCCTGAGAAAGACTACATACATAGATCTAATCAATATGGGAAGTAGAAAAAGACAAGATCTCCTGAGTAAATTGGCAGCATGGGGACCATGGAAAAGGTTGGAAGGAAGAGGGACAGAAAAAAATGCATGGCTCAATAAAATCAATTTAAAAAAAAAGAAAAAAGAAAAAACAAACAACAAAAAAGAACAACAATATTTACTAACCTTTTCATACTTACTCATCATAATTTTAAGAAATGCTAAAAATTACCTCTTCTACTTGTCAAGAGAGTAATATAAATGTGCAAATGTTATGCTTTCTTTACATAGATTTTACATAGATTTTAAAAGAACACATCATCCGTGTAGTTGTTGATCAATCCACAGCATGGGGTGTGGACCACCTATTGTTTTAAGGCCAGTCTCACACTAATGCCTTTGTTCTGCGAGCAAACAGCAGTTGCCATATACTTTCTGTTCTCTTCACTTGTGTTTTAGGAAGCTGAGCCATGGTGGTCCAGGGACTTAACCTAGATCACTACACCACACTGCCAATGATTTGCCAACCACAGACAGGACGCTGGTGCTTTGATCTAACTCTTGCATTCCTGGTCCTATTATTCTTTATGCCATGTCATATTGTATGTTGTGATTTTCAATGTAATCCATATTTCAGAACAACCATCAGTTTTGAAAAATTGAGGGTTTATATCAAACACAATTGTTTACTAGTTAAGTGAGTATATACTCTTGAGAGTCTCTTCAATTACTTTTAATTTTTCACATTTCTACTTTACCTAAGTGAAATCCCAGGGAAAATGCAGATTTGCCTGATTGTGCGAAGTTTAATGAGAAATGCATTCTTTTAAAAGGCTTTAATCATATCTGTCCTAGCCCAGCCCTTAATGCATTGCTTTCTTCTCAATTCTACTTACAGCCAGTATGGAATGTTCACTGGAAATGAGTCCAAAACATAGCATTCGGAGTTGTAAAATTATATTGCAATATTGTACCTCTCATATGAAAAATGACACTCAGTTCCATAAAAATGAAGATATAGTTCAATGTCCATCTACTCTGCATAAATGTCCTCTATAAATATTAAAGAAAGAGTTTTGTTTGGTAACCACAAGCACTTGAGATTCCTGGTTGTGTTACACCTTTACACCTTTCTCACATTTTAAATTATAATTTTTCAAGTCTGTTTTTTAAATTGAGCAAGATAACAATTAATAAATCAAAGTAGAAAAACGTAATTAATAGTTAATTATGTCAAAATTACCAACTGTTTTTAAATTGTCACATCCTCAACTTTAGTAAAGTGATAAGTTTGTTACTACTACCTTATTGGTCATCAGTGATGCTCTAGGTTTACAGAAATAAAAGATACTATAGTAGGTACTTTGGTTGAAAGAAATGTGTTACAAAGATCTCGTTTACTTAGAAGTGTCTGTTATAATTGTTTTTAACCAAATGCACAGGGCTAACAAACAGGTCTCAAAGAGAAGAAAACTAGGAAATACAATATAATTACCAGGTTTGACATCAAAGACCATAACTACAGGATATGCATTTCACTTCATCAAGATGAAATGGTTTCATTTGTGAAGTTACATTTGTACTAAGTCATTTGAAGGTTTCCATTTTTTTTTATTTTCCAGTTTGACATTTATTATTCTGTCTCCAGTTTCAGGCAACACTTCTTTAGAGATTTATTCAACTTTTTTGTTTACAACTTTGTGTGAAGCATGCATCTGAGCAAGAAATGTAGATCTGAAATAGTAAGGAAGTGTGCATTGCTAGAAGACACTATCTCACAGAAAACTCCCTGAACTTTGGCTCCTACAATTTACATAATGGTCCCTGAACATTCTGGTTGGAAGCTGGTTTGTAGACGTTTTCACTGAGATTGGGCTTCCCAGCTCTTCCTTTGGATTGGTTATGGTTTTCTACCATGCTTTCCTGTCGCAAAGAATACACAGAGAGACTCACCAAAATGACTGCATAAGTATGAGCAGCAGACATGCTACAGTGAGTGAGAAAAGCCCAGGAGACCTCAACCTACACAAAGAACTACAGACAACTAAGCAAGGCTGAGCACAGAATAATGGTCTTCCCCAGGAAAAAGGACACAATTTGTCATCCAGTGCTAAATGGCCAGCTATGAAAACACACATACAATTAACATTATCCAGACATAGACGGAGCAGGTTGTACATTGGTATTTAGAGATGCATATGCATATAAATTTATAAGTTCACAATGCAAGTAACAATTAATGAAAAAAGAGGCCACAAACATGAAAAGAAAAAAGGACACATATATGGAATGGTTTGGAGCAGAGAAAGGGAAGGGAGAGAAAATTTGATTGTACTATAATCTCAAAAAATAAGAAATTAAAAATGTAGTGAGAGTCCAGGCATTCCATTAATGCTCCATGCTGAACACTATCACGAACGGGAGGAAGAGGTGAAGGAGAGCTCGCTCAGAGAATTAGAATGCATACTGTTCTTGCAGAGGACGTGCCTTTCCTTCCTAGCATCCATGGCTCATAACTGCCATAATTTGAATTCCAGGGAGATCTGGCACGTCTCGCCTGAAAGAACAGTACTCACATACATATAACCCCCACCACACATACTTACAAGCTAAATCTCTAGTTTGCTACATTTAAAACATGTGGTTTATGTTTATGAATGTGTTGTCTGCATGTATTTCTGGGCACTAATGTGTGCCTGGTGCCTACAGAGGCCAGAAGGGAGTGCCTGATCTCTTGGATCCAGAGTTACAGGAGTTTTTGAACCACCACATGGGTGCTAGAAACCCAACCCACATCCTTATGAAAGAGGAATAGGTGCAACAAAGACAAGGTCATTTTTCCAGCTCTCCAAATAGAATTTTACTTATAAAAGATTTTTCTTTCAGTCCTGGAAAATAAAAAAATTAGACGTTATAGACAAGAAAGTGAATATTTGAAAACACCTGTCACTCAAGGGACAAATTTCCAAACTGTAAAAAAAAAAAACTTATTAAAATTCAATAATAAGAAACAAAATGAATTTTAAAAGAATAGAATCAAAGACATTAATATCCACCTCACCAATAAGGATATAAAATATCAAATGAGCATATGAACTCATATAACATACCAGTATCATTGGAGAAATTCAAAGTAAGATGACATAACAATACATGTCTATTAGGAGGACCACATCTAAAATACTGACAACAACAATGTGAATACAAACAATAGGACCATGCAATCATCATCAATCAAAATGCAAATTGATTTAGACATCTTGGTAAGCATATGGGACCATTTCTGGCAAAACTAAATATGTGACCAACAATTGTTTCTTTTGCTTTACTTCAAAGAAATCAAAAATATATGTGCAAAAACCTTTGTATGCATATAATTTATTGTAGCTTCCAGAACTTGGAAGCAACAAATTAGCCTTACTTGTGGGTAAATGGATGAATTACAATATAAACAGAAAATGAAACAGTACTCTGAAAAACAAATATCACTTGCTTTTGACTTGAATGTTGGAGGGGCTATCTAGGGAGAGGGAAAATATCAGAAGGGAGGAAGGAGAGCCATGGTAGGTAAGAGGTGAATGTAAACACTAGGCAATGTGAAATAAGAAGGAAAATACCATAATAACGTCGACATTTTTCATACTAATTAAAATTTTTAAAAAACACAAGAGGAAAAATATTCCATGATATTTATGACACACTTTTATACTTTGTTGATGCATCTTAGGTTTATCATTTTTCAAATTTTAAAAAAAGAATAATGCTTTAAATTATAATTTATGATCTGTTTTTTAATATCTTGTATTTCATAGTTCAAAGTTTTATGTTAATTTTAAAATGTATTTTATACAGAGAATAGAAGCAATCACTATTTAAAGAAAAGTGTCTGTTTCTGAAGGAGTTAAACTTGTTTCAATGTGTCAACACTGGAGCATCCATGCCGCATAAGTATGTTCAAAGAGTGGATTATTATGTGTATTTTGGCAGGTAAACACATTTCATGCTGAAAGCGTCCCCTTCCTTTCCCTCTTTTGTCTTTTCCACAGACTTGCTGCTCTCAAACAGCTGTATTCCCTTTTTGGGTTCGTCGGAAGGACTGGATTTCCAGACGCTCCTTGTAGATGAGGAGAGAGGCAGGCTGCTCCTAGGGGTCAAGGACCATGTCTTCCTGCTCAATCTGGTTGACTTAAACAAAAACTTTAAGAAGGTCAGTTTATATACATTGTTGGATTCACTGAATTTTTTCTGTGCCTTATGCCTGTTTTGTGTTACTCAGGAGGGCTTCCATGTGTCAAAAACAATAGAAGGCAGTTAAAAACAAAATCCCTGGGACAAACATTTTATGTCTTTATGGGTTTTAGTATATATGCATATTTTGTGTCAATGAGTATAATTTTGAAGCCATTGAAAACATGAATGAGGGCAACAAAATGTGTAAATATCTACTTATATATTAGAAGAGTAAGCATCTATAATAAAGATATTGCAAGGAAATTAGTCAAAAGTAAACATGTATTCTTTCCTGAAAATGCAACAATAAAATTTTATTAATTTTTAATTAATAAATACTCATTTGTTTTAAGACTATGATGATGTTTTACATTGTTTCTTAATACTTTTATTTCACATCTGAACAAATTTCTACCAAGATCTATGATTCTGAGCTAATCAAAACTCATAATGCTCCAACTATAAAGTGGCAAAAAAGTCTTACCAGTTAAAAGAAACATAGAGAAAGAGAAAGATGATGTCTGAGTAAAACCCCCCAACAACGGTAACCCCACAGACATCAATCTGAACAATTCACATAACCAGAAAGTTGCATAAGAGTGACCATGAACCCTGGTTTCAATATGATATAAAGAAACGACATATTGAAGAAGGCTTAAGAAGGAAGTGCTATCTCATATTGCCTCCTCAGCTCAGCTAAGCATGAGGGAGAGGTGCCTCCCACTCTAGCCAGGGAAAGAATACTAAGTCTAGGCTACAGACTTATCAATAACAAGTGAAATTTGGGACGAGCCGAATATTCTAAACCCTACCTGTCTTCATCAGTACTAAAGAACTTAGGAGATGGACAGAATATTCTAAACCCCGTCTCTTGTCTAACACAATTGACCAAAACGTGGAACTGTGTCAACACAGAAACTTTCCCTATCTATTGCAAATCCACAAATGGTGCAGCAGGGATGGTGATCTGTCTTGCTGTAGGGGCATTAAGGCTCACAAAGGGCTGTATCTGTGGTTCACTTCTGGGATTAGTTGCACCAGAACCAGGATTGGACAGAATATAAGGACCACATACTGATGCCAGTGCTCAAAGACAGGTGCACTAGGTCTGTACCCCCAAAATCCCTATGTAAAATATATGCCAAGGGGATAGAATCTATTTGGGGTTTGTACTAATGCCAGTCTTTTAATAGATCTCAAGTATCTACCTTCTCTCCAACTTTTCTCCAAGATAATACCTTTAGAGTATCCTATATCCAGTAGAAACTAACGTGCCATTGAAATGGACTTGGGATTTCCTCTGTATCTTTACTAGTTACAATGTGGATCTTATCTTGTGGTTATGACAGTTGGGCACTGGCCAACTTAATATCAACTTTAGTGGCCAAACAACTGCCTTTACCCATATAACCCAACTTTTACAACATAGAGAAAAGCTCTATTCACTGAAGTAAATTAAAATTAATTAACACATTACTTTGCCTTGAAACTCAGTTCTAGGATGGACATGTCTGTAGATGGAACTTTCTGTCCCGCCCAGTCCCTCAGCCATTCAGTCCCAAAAAAACACACAGACACTTATATTATAAATTGCATGGCCTATTAGCTCTGCCTTATTAACCAGCTCTTATAATTTAAATTAACCCATCATCCTTATCTATGTTTAGCTACATGTCTTGGTACCTTCTTGTTTACAGAGGTTTTTGTCCCAACAGGTCCCACAGTTGTTCAGTTCCAAAGAAATACACAGAGGTCTACATTAATCATAAACTGGTTGGCCTAGTTGCTCAGATTTCCTATTAACTCTTATAACTTATATTAGCCCATAATTCCTGTCTATGTTATTCATATGGCTTGGTATCTTTTTAGGCAAGGCAATCACATGTTGCTTGTTCTGTGTCTGTGTAACTGACTCTTTCGTCTTCCCAAAATTCTCCAGTTCTCATCGCCCTACCTCACCTTCCTGCCTGGTCGCCCCACCTCTACTTCCTGCCTAGCTACTGGCCAATCAGCATTTTATTAGAGCAATGCAACTGATAAATCATTGTCCCACAGCACTACTGAACAAAACAATGAACAGAGACCTGGGAGCCTAAGAGTCCATTATCCTTTGATGCTAAAATAGTGACCATATGCTCCATTAGTATCAGACACTCCAAACATGAACTTAAACAACATCTAGTGCTAAATTAGTGCAAGTGACTATGAGCTTGAAAAATATAAAAAAATATAGATAAAATAGAAATATAAGCTTATCTTCCCAGACAAGTTTAAGCAAAGAAAGACAAATTCTGAAGACTAACAATTATCTTTCTTCTGACAAGTTGACACTTACCAAGTTTTAAGAGGTTTAAGGAAACTATGCTCAAAAAACATTAGAGAGTATTAGTGAACACAAAAGAATTATAAAATGACTACTCCAAGATTTTGCCTATTAGCAATTACTTAAAATTTAAGGAGAATAATATCTATATTTAAAAGATATATAATGCCATATTGAATGTGGGGCAGTTTCAAATATATGTTCCTTATAAGAAATTCAAATTACCTAAAAGCAAATGCATAGACTGAACTAGGTTGAAACTAGAAAACCTAATTATATGCAAATAAAATTCAAAAGGAAATGGAGGTGGCCATACTTACATCAGATAAAGCTGAGTTTATATGAAAGTAGTAAATGAGAAAAATAACAAAGAGATTGACTCAACAAAAAGAAATGGTCATCTAAGTATGAATGCATTTAATATAAAATCACCCAAACATGTAAAGCAAAAATTAATAGACTAAAGAAAGAGTGAGACCCCCACTCAAAAACTGTTGAAGAGTTTAATGACCCATTCTGTCAATCCACAGATCATTCAGACAGAAAAATGAGCAGAAATTTAGGAGTTATGTTGAATTCTCAGTCTGACAAACATCCACAGAACGTTTGGCCCAGCCTGCACCCAGACTTATATGTTCTCATCAGCACAGAAAACACTAAAGTGGGATGGTAGGCTACTTTAAGTCTCAACAAGTTATATTAAATTAAAATCTTATCAGGGATTATACATACATATATATATATATATATATATATATATTACTAAAAAGGAGAAAACTAGAGGCATTGTCCTACCTGACTAATAATCACTGGTGCCTCACAGGTTAAGTTGAATTCAAAATTTATTGTGAAACTAGAGTCATCAAAATTCCATTGCATTTTCATAAAAACACACAAATTGACCAATGAACAAAACAAACAAAACTATCACAGATAACCAATGGGTCCACATTCATCTGTCTTTCAACAGGTGTAAAGGAACTTCATTGAGAAAGGAAAATGAGCTGGGTGGTGATAAAACACACCTTTAATTCCAGCACTTGAGATGCAGAGGCAGCTGGATCTCTGTGAGAACTTATTAATGAAAACAGTATGGTGGCTCTTCAGAAAATTAAGAGGTTAGCTGTGAGAAATTATCTGAAAAATAAAGTTGAGGAAGGAATTTTGAAAGTTACTAAAATAAAGAAGTGATATCTGAGGAGAAAGAGAGGTTTAGATCTGATTTAAATATTACTTAATTTTTACATGTGTAAAACATGAAATAATATTTTTCTGGTTCATAAAATTGTCACGTTTTGAGTGTCAATTTCAATTAAATTTAAATTAAATCTTTAAAATTGCAAAAGAAATACCTATTAAAATCCAAAATAAAATTTCCACTATACCCTACAAGATAAGCAATGCTGAAAATAAAAGTTCAGGTATTATCGCCTAACATTTTCTAAGAGTTTAGCAAATATTGTTATCTACAGTGAAACCTAGATATATCAAAGCTTAGAGGGATTGAAAATTTAAAATACAAAATGTGTGAAGTATTCTTAACCTGCGAGGCACCAGTAATTATTAGTTTATTTATTTTCATAAAGGTAGAATTCTTGTAAGAGTCAGGTAAATCAGAGTCAGTATTGAGCTCTGTTTACAGGGACATTGAGCAATCTTATTATATTCACCAATAATGACCGTTCTCTGATCCTTATTTGTATGAAATACATTTTATGATTAAATATCGGTGGTTTGGTTAATTGAATAAGGTTTGTTCTTGAGACTTTAGTCTGCATGTAAATGCTTATCTGTATATGTATTATTGTTGCTTGGTTAACACCTGATTATAGACAGGTATTTGCTTTGTATGTTCCTCTTCTTTTTTGACTTGCTTGGTTTGGCTTCTTTGAGATAGCTTCTTAACTTTATAGTTCAGTCCGCTTATAAGCTCTGGTAATCCTCCAGTTTTCACCTCCAGAAGGCTGGCATTACAGGAGTCAGATGTCAAACCCAGCACAAGAATTGTCTTTTGTGCTGTTCATTTTTGTAGATCTGAAGCTTGGTGCTATTGCACTTACATTGCATGCATTAGGCCCAGAGTCCAATCCGAAGTAACACCAAAATAAAAGAGTAGATTAAATACATGGAAATGATCATGACATATCTAGCGTACATTAGTATAAGAGAGGAAATACTGTGTCTACTAAGAATTAATTGTTAGTTTGATGAATGTTTGTGGGAGTATGTGCATGCATACAGGTTCGTGTCTGTGTACGTGTGTGAACGTGTGTAAGCTCTCTATCACTCTTCACCTTTATGAAACATGTCTCAGTATACATGGAACCCATGGATGTTCCTAGTGTTGTAAGCTATCCTGCCTCAAGGATCCTTCTGTGTCCACCTTGCCAATGCTGGAATTAAGGATGCACATCTCCAAGCCAGCTCTGTTATGACTACTGGGATCAGACTCTACGCACTTAACTATCTGAATCATCTCCCCAGCTCTGACAGCTACTTCTTTTTAAACAAAAACAAGCAAGCAAAAATCCACGTATGTGTGTGTACACATATATTTAAATACATAAGGCCCACAGGCTCACCCTATATAATTTTCTTAGATGGTAGCCCTTGGATGGAAGACTTGCTTGATATCATTTATTTTTTCAGTAATT